TAAAACATTTATAGATCTTTTGGTGCAAAAGCTTTGTCAAGTGTATGAAGACATATATGATAAGGGAATTTTATCACCAACATTTAATCAGGCTTATATTACAGTTATACCAAAAGCAGGTAAGGATCATAATCACTCTGCTAATTATTGTCCAATCTCACTGATTAATGTTGATACAAAGATTTTAACAACAGTGTTAGCAAATAGATTACAGCAAGTGATATCATTCATTATTAAGAATGATCAGGCAGGGTTTATTAAAACTAGGCAAGCAGACAACATAAGGTTAGCTGTAGATCTAATAGACTTGAATAAAAATAAAGATCAATTTGCATCTAAGAACTTCTTGTGTCAGATAGACAATAAAAAAATTAACATGGGAGAAAAATTGTGCCTAACAGATCTAATGCAGAGTGGGGGCCTGTGCCAGCTGCAGGTGCTCCAAATTATTGTGTTTTTTGTGTACTGGTAGTGGGTAAATTATTCCCTCCAAGAATTGTTTTCATAGCTGAAATGCTGCTTTTATGGCTAGTGACTATTGAAAATATCCTAGTTCCTTTCATCTAGGAAAAGAAGCCTGGAGCAAAATTTGCAAGGCAAGAGATCATCTCCTGCCTGTGTTGAAACCTGAAGGAGAGCACCCCCCCAAAGCAGAGTTCAAGGCATCAGTCTCCACAACAAAAGTGGAATGGGATTCTGAATAGCAGCTAGAATGAAAGGTGACTCTTTAAGTCCTGGAAGGCAGCCTGCTTTTGAGTGGACCAATTAAACTCTTGTCTTGTTTTCAGAAGCTGAGTGAGTAGTTTGGGGCATTCTATAAAATTAGGAATGAATCATTGGTAAAAATGGACAAAACCCCCAAAGAAAGATTATGAAAGATTGGAGATCTTTCATAATTCTAGATCCTTTTTATGGGTGAATTGATTGCATTTAGCCAAATCTATCTTCTGCAGAGATCCGATAACCCAACTAGTCCAACTGGTGAAGATCAAATGCAGATTTATCCAATGTAGTAAACAGGTTATGTTGGCAAAGGTGTTCTAGGACATTTCTGATATGGGTCTGATGTAAGGACAGATCTTTCCAAAAAATCAGTGTGTCATGTACATTGCTGCAAATTTGTGTAAAATATCAGAAAATATTTCATTTATTAATCTGGAAAAGACTACAGGACAATTAACCAGTCCAAAGCGCATTACTCAAATTTGCCGGATTGGGCACCAAAAGCTGTCAAATACTCATGGCTCTCTTTCATTTGGATCAAATTGTAAGTTCCCCTCAAGTCCAGTTTAGTGAAAATGTATGCCTTCTAGAGGTTATCCAGTAGAACTGAAATAAGTGGCAGTGGGTAGTGATCCCTAATGGCCACATGGTTAAGAAGCCTATAATTCAAAGAAGAATTATCTTCCCCCTTTTTTTTAAATAAAAAATAATGGTCCAGATGTGGATGAGGACAAAGGGCAAGTGAATCCTTTTTTTCAGATTGTCATCCAGAGAGTCTTTGTAAATTGCTAACTCTTTGGTAGATATGGAATAGTGTCTTTTAGCTGGATCCGTGCTCCTGGTTTCACTTTGATAGTATAGTCACATGCTCAATGAGGGGGAAAGGTAGCTTCTTCCTTTTCCCTCAAAATATCAGCAAAATCTTTGTACTTTTCTTGCAAGAAAGAGATTTTAGGCAGCAGTGCAGGAGGAAGAGAAGGAAGAGAATGGGATGCCTGCAAATGGTGCTGTAGACATATTTGAGATGGAAAAAAAAATAGTCACTTGCTCCCAGTGGGTATCAGGCTTATGAATTGTAGCCAGTCTACGCCCAGCACTTATGGGGAAATGGGAGGAAGCTGTGGTCTGGAGTGGCAATAATTCTTTTGATCATTTCTTTTCAGTTGTAGAGGAGTTTTACATTACAAAATAGGGCCAGCTCAAAGGAATTTCCTGTCAGTTATTTCAACTAGCAGGGTTATCTAATAACTGTGTGGGTAACCCCGACTGACACACCACAGACTCATCTATGAAATTAGCTGTTGCACCAGAGTCTCAAAGAGCTGTATTTCTGGGCCTGAGGGGATATGAAGAGTAATAGAAATAATAAAACGCACTTGCCTGCTGTCAGCTGTCTGAGCAATTTTTAATTGTCTGAAGCCCTTCCTGCTGAGCTCTTGAGATGGGAGCCTGTGAAATTTCCCAAAACCTGGCTTTGGGGTGATTTGTGCATTTACTTGTGAGCTAATGCATAGTTCTACAGGTGCGACACTTTCTAGCCAACTCAGAAGAAGGAACTTTAGTGGGTCAAGCCATGGCCAGCTGTCCTGGAGATCCACAGTAAAAACATAAACCAAGATCTCTCTTTCTTTGTTTCTCTGCTGCAGACAAGAATCTTGTTATCCCTCCTATTTGCATGGGTTGTATGATGCTAGACCCTGAGGAGGCCACAAGGAGGGAGGATGAGGTAGACAGAATATTGTAAAACCTCCTCCCCTCATTACTTCCTCCATGACTCAACTCCTCCAATTGCCCATCAGTTGACACACAACACCAAAACAGCATAGCAGGGATTTCCAGAATGCTTTTTATTGTTGTCAGATAGAATAATAGAATCTTGAAAGTCAGTCAGAATTTTTGTCTGCCCCCTCTTATACCAAACAGAATTGAAGTGGGGTTATTTTGGGGTTCCTTCTCATGTGAAGCACTTTCTCAGCTCTGAATAATCTTTTCTGAAAGTCTCCCATTAATGGCTCCCTCATTCCTAACCCTTTCCCAAGGTCAGGTCTATAATACTTCACTGATATTTAAAATGCATGTTTTGCAAAGGATTGCTAGTTATGATTATAGGCAGGTTAAACGTTTTGAAAAAAAGAAAAGAAAAGAAAAAAGAAAAGAAAATTGTGATATCAGATTTGGATGTTGTGGAATAAAAGAATACTATCACGAGAGATGCAGCATTATCATAAGTAACTGGCTGATTATATGGGAAAGCGTTTTTGGGAATATATACTATTGGATCCCAATGTTATTATTTACTGTGAGAGGGAGTGTTGTGGTTCTTCTATATCGGTCAGTTACTTCTCAGAGGTCTTCTTTTTGAGAAAGAAAATAAATAGGACACTATGTGCCTGTAACCTATTGGATATGGACTGACTGGCAGATTTCATCAATCATGTTATTACTGTAATTGAAAAAGAGAAATGATCTTGTGACTATGAAAAATATATAAACTGAAAGTTTGAAAATAGGTTTCCAAAACCCAAGGAATATAAGCCATTTTTCTTCTTCAACTGTAAATATTTTCTCTAAATGTTCTGACTTATTTAATGAGGAAAGCCTCATATATATAATTAGGTGACAGGAATTCTATTTCCAGGTGTCAGATTAAGGAAGGGTGTTATAAACTCATAGGTTTGACTGTTTTCCTCTTAGCTGGACCAGCATAAACGAGAAACAACCCGCTATAATTTGGGGCATTAGCACAAAACGTATAACTTAACCATTTATAAAAGAGCTATAAATCAAACTTACCTGAGTCCTGGTTTTCCAGAATTGCCTGCAAAAGAGAGGGAATATATTTTTAGTGTATACAATGTACAGCTATGGCACAGTTGCAGAAAATATGTTCTTCAAAAGAGAAGTCAAGGTAGTTGTCTTCAGTTGATTAAGGACACACCTGGACAGGTTTACTTATTGTAAGTCTATGGAAGGATAATAATAAGATGCTCAATAATGCTAGAAGATTCATCTTTGAGTTTTTTCCATAGGTTTTTCTAAGTTACAAGGAGCTCTGATGGTTCAGATCTAGCGAGAGTATTTGCTCCTTGGATTGTAGTTTTCAGTGAAGACTGCCAGCTTTAATGATTGTACAACAGTTAGATGGCAAGATGTATTTTCACAGAAAGAAACAAGCTGTGAGAATTCCCAGCAGAATTGGCCAGGGATCATTTTGTGCTACTTTATCTTAAAAACAAAAAACAAGGAATGTTGCAATATGAGCAAAACTAACTGTTGGAAAACTAGTAATGAAATGTGTGAGTAATCTGTACATAAGTGAGAAGGAAAAGAAGTTAGGAGTATTAGGAAGATGAGCCCAGTCTTCAGCCCTGCACCCTTAATGCTGTGCTAAAATACAGCTACTCTTTTCTCCTTGTAATGGGCGGCGTTCCAACTTGCCACTCCACAACCCAAACAGAGTTAGTCATGAGGATGAAAATGTGCAGATTACTGCAAGAAGTGTTTGAGTTGAAAAGTCTAATGCCTGACAAGGGGTTAATGTGATAGTATGTGGACACTGTATGACAAATATATGTCATACACTGTTTTCTTATACGACAATAGCTGCATGTATTACTGCAGTTGCCAAGAGCTAAGTATGATAAATGTGAGGGCCTCTTGAGTCAAATTCCAGTTTTAGAATTAGGTATCCACTTCTTTTATTTCTCTGGGGCAATACTGGAGTTAATGGATAGGGGAGTGAATTCCACTTAGCCAATTGCATCAAAGAGACAACTCTCTTGCCAACCTGAAACTGGAATTGGTTAAATCATCCCTTGCATTACTTGAATCTTCCTCCTTCAGGTATGTGGGGAACTGCAAAGCAGTTTGTGGCAAAGAACTGGATGTATAATCACTTTAGTGTCAATGCAAAGGCTTTGGAGAAGACAATGGTAAACCACTCCTGTATTTTACCAAGAAAACCACATGGTTGGACAAGAAAAATTGACTGATGACATAGTGCTGGATGATGAGCCCCTCAGCTCAGGTGGCATTTAATATGCTGCTGAGGAAAAGCTGAAGATCTTTTGGAGTACTAATTGTATTTATGACACAGCTTGATTAAAGCCATTGAGATGGCTAGTTGTTGATGTTGCCATTCAGGAAAAGAAATTCTGAAGCTACAAGGATAGTATTATAGGGGAAATATAGAACATCAAAAGCATGAGCATAGGAAAGCTTAACACAGTGGAAAAGGAAATGAATCAACTACACATTGACAACTAAGGTATCCGTGAATTGAAAGGGACTGGAGTTGGACGTTTTTAGTCAGAAGATCATACTTCTGTTCTACTTAAGACACAAAAAACAAAGAAGGAACAGCATTGCTTTCATAGTCAGGAAAGGCATAGCAAAGACAATACCTGGGTAGAATGCAGTCAATAAATTTGGGTTCCAACCACTGATGCAGAAAAAGAGGAGCTTGATGGATTTTATGGTCAAGTCCTATCTGAAATCAACAGAACGTTCAAGCAAGATGTGATATTTGTGGCTGGACACTGGAATGCCAAAATTGGAAATAGTAAGGAAGAATAGTTGGAATGCATGGCTTAAGAAGCAGAAAGCAGGAGGATAACTGATCTGTTTTTGCCAATCCAATGATTTTTTTCATGACTACCACATTCTTCAAATAACCAAAATGATGCCTGTATACATAGACATCAGATGTAATGATATTTGGGAATGAACTCAGGAGACAAAAGGAAGAGCTGCAGACTAAAAAACAGTCAGACCAATGGCAGTTGAGTCTGCAGAACAAAGGGGGCATGGCAAACATCTCAAAAGGGACCCTCCCTAGTTTCTTGGACTGTAAATGCAAGGTAGGAGAGATGTACTTTTAAACTTGAAAAACTGATGTCAGCCTTGCAGCAGCCATCTGCAGCACATTGTGGGTAACCTCTCATCCTCTCCTTATCCAGACAGGTTCCATAGGACTAGTCTACTCACTGACTCTTCAGCCTTTGCCGTGGTCATCATCTCTGATTATTGGGAGATGAACTAGTTCACCATACCTCCCCCGGAAGTCCCCGAAGAAGAGAAATTATTGTTGATGCACGCTGGATAATTAAAAAAGCCAAAGAATGCCATAGAAAAATCAATATTGATTACAGAAAAACCTTGTTGACCATGTCAAGCTTGGAATGTCCTTAGAAAAATTGGAATCCCTGAACATTTCATTCTCCTAATAAAAAATCTATATAATGCACAGAACAGGAAGCCACAGTCTGGACAAAATATAGTGTAACAGACTGGCTCAAGTCAGCAATGGAGTAAGACAAAGCTGTACACTTTCTCCTTATTTAATCAACCTATATGCTGAATATTTATTGAGGGAGGCTGGATTAGAAGTTGAGTGGATCAGAGTTGTGCTGGCAATGCTTTTCCCTTGTGCTGACACTCTATGGAAGTGAAAGTTGGACTTTGAAGAAGCAGGATGGAAAGAGTATTGATGCTTTTGAATGCTGGTGTTGCAGAAGGCTCCTGAGAATACCATGGATAGCTAAGAAAACGAACAAATAGAACCTAGAACAAATTAATCCAGAATTTTCACTTGAGGAACAAATTGCCATATTTTGGGCATATTATATGAAGACCCATCTCCCTTGAGAAGTCCATAGTGCTGGGTAAAGAAGAATGAAAGAAGAGGACAACCAGCAACAAGGTGAATGGACTTGGTTACACCCATGTTGCGTGCATCATTGGAAGACTTGAAAGGCAAAGGTGGGGACACATCATGTTGGAGAAAATCTATCTATATGGTTGACAACAATTTGATGGCCCATAATCAATCAATCAATCAATCAATCA